CACAGACACACACACACCTCCATTTAACATAATTTAGAGTGAAAAATTAGCAAATCACAAGATTTTCATTTGACAATTAAAAACCAAAAAAAAAGAAAACTGTACACAAAACCGAGGGCATGAATAAGTTAATAAAATATAATCTACATTTCTCAAAATATATACTGACAATATACCTGACCTTGGTCCCTGTTTAATGTACACAAATGATTTAATACCCATCAAACAAGACTTTAAACTTTGTCATTGCGGTGGGGGGGGGGGTCATTCCTAACAGGCTCCAGGGACGTTTCAAGACAAGTTTTACAGGTTATAAACATTTTATCCTGGGAAAGTTTCAAAAAAACGTATTCCTGTACACAGTATAGATCGGAATAATAAATGGCTTTCCTCTCCTTACTTCTGGATTTTTTTCCGTATTATTAATTCATTTTACAAATTGTCAAATCAAAATATGACAAAGGGCTTTACACATCCAAATGAGCCGTCAGTAGATCTGCTTCATTTAGATCACATCCCTCCAGCGATGCGCTCTGGTTAAGATTCAGAGCCGCTCAGGTTCGTGCTGAATCATAACACTCCTCAAAGGCTTTGTTCAAACAATAGAAAAAACACGTAGTTCTACTAGAATGACATATCTAAAGACCAGGATATGAGAAAGGAAAGAAACCCAGACTAAAAACGGCATAGTGCTTATGGGGTTTCAAAATTCCTGACAGGAAAAGTGGCTTTCATTTGTGAATTTGGTATAACTTTAAATCTAACGAAGAATTAACTCGGCTATGATACCCAAAGCACTCTGGTGTTTCTTCTTCTGTGAGGTAGCTTAATTATTGATTATTGAAGTCTTTTTTGCCTGCTTTTACAGTCCGAGATGAGCTTAGTGTGGATGCTATACATTTTAACTGTAATCCTGTCAATAGTAATTCATTAAAGGTCCTTGCTAGCTCTCAGTGCTGCTCAGCGGCCAGACATTTTCTGAATGAAGCCGAAGAAAATTGCTTGTAACAAACATGTCGAGAGGTTTTCCATGGGCCTGTTAGGAATGCTTCTTGGAACAATTAAGAAATTCAAAGAAAATCTGCTATCAAAAGTGAGGCCAATTCAGATCTCTGTCCTTCAGAAAAACTTCTTAAAAAGACGCAGAGAACAACATAAATACAGAATTCACGAAGAGACAGCAAGTAATTACTTATTTTAAGGTTGCAGTAAATAATTCGTCTCATGTCAACAAAGATTTGTGCAGCTAAGAAAGTTCAACAACACATAAGCCGAAACAAAAGCAAAAACATACCCAACGTAACTTCAACAGATCCACATCAGATAAAGGACATAAAACCTTCATGTCGTTTCTTTAAAAAGAAAACGTAACACCGTACACGCACTTTTCATACTCTGAAAAAGTAGAAAAAGTAGGAATCGTATGGCAGTCTGTGACAAAAATATCGGATACACATTAAGCAACGTCACAAACGGAAAAAAGTAGTCTTGAGGCAAAGTTATTCCCAAACACAGAGCATCTTCTGTGGGCAACCCGGCTTTGTCCTAAGAACGAGAGGCTTTGCAAAAACAAAAACTTTAATGCAAACATGTCACTTCCCTCCAAAGTCGATTCCACTTTGCCCTGCCTCGGCATCCACCAGAGAAGAGGCGAACGCAGACTGGACTATCTGAAAGCCAAACGACTCGAGCAGAGACATGTTTTGTTGAGGGGAGAAGGGAGAGGTCAGGGAGGGGCCCAGCTCGTTTAAGCCTGACCCTGAAACCCCCTGAGCCTTCTGGGCTTTGTGAACTCTGTGCTGGTGCTTGTTGAGGTAGGACTTGGTGCGGAAGGCCTGACCGCAGATGGCACAGGTAAACTTCTTCTCAGGGTCCGTCTTGGCTTTAGATCCCTCCGGAGACCCCAAGGCGCCCGCAGAGGCTCCGTTGCAGGCTAAAGAGGGCATCTCCAGCTCGGGCCCGTCGGGCTTGTGTGGAGATTTGAGCTCGTCGCCGTTGGGCAACTCTCCAAATGAAGGATCGGATTCTTCTGATTCCAGGTGAGGACATTTCCCGGCGTTTTCCTGCCCGTCTGTGGTAAACACAGCGAGGATAGGAAAGCGGAGAGTGAGACAGAGAGAGAGAAAAAGGGGAAATGGGAGGAAAGGGAGGCATGAATTAGGACACAGGGAATATAAAACAGGATTTGTCTAATACAACTTTAATCCAGAAGCTGGTTGGCACCTGCAAAAACTTAAACATTTTACTTAAGGACTTTAGTGAGAAGGCACCATGAAAAAGTAGAACAAATTGTGACGATTAATTTTAGAGCTCAATCACTAAATGTAGTAACAGAAACACACGCGATGCCTTCAAGTTGTAGCAGCAGCATTTACAAATACAATCATCGCTCTCAGTCCATTCGCCCATTGTCCAATGACAGTTCTGCTGTGCTCATCCAACCAGCGGGCACCACGCCCCCCACCCCACCCTCCTGCTGGACTGTACTGACCTGCGACAGGCCCATGGACGGGGAAGCCAGGCAACCCGCCAGAGCGACACTCCCAGAAATATGGAGCCCCACCTGCCTTCCCCATGAGCAGCTCAGGCTGCAGGCCCAAGGCAGGAGGGCCAGGCTGCGGGAGCACTGGGTGTCCAGAGAGCCCATGAAAGCGACCCTCTGCCTCAGACGAGGTGAGAAGCAGCTGGCGACTGGCGCACAGGTCTACACAACAGCCCGGCCAGGG